ATTGGCAGTGCAGTATGTGTGTATTTATTTTAGTGTCTTAATATACTTTTGATGTGGTATTTTGCGAATGGTTAAATGAACTGTTCTCTTAAAGATGTAAATGCTATTCATTGAAAGGCTCTGTTAAGTAATTTACACTTGTTATAAAATAGTACATGTGAACAAAAAAAAAATAGGGAAAAGAAAGCCAAAGGTCCGTAGCAAACCTTTGAGATGTAATTTGAGAACCACTGTGGTAATTTGAATGTAAGTGTTCCTCATGATCCCAAAGGAAGTGACACTATTAGGAGGTGCGGCCTTGTTGGAGGAAGTGTCTCACAGTGGGAGCAGGCTTTGAGGTCTCTTTTGCTCAAGCTTTTCTCAATGTGACAATCAGTCTACTTCCTGTTGCCAGCATAGCAACATGCAGCAGCTCCCTCTCCGGCGCCATGTCTACCTCTCCAGCACCATGTCTACCTCTCAGCACCATGTCTGCCCGCATATCACCATGTCACACTGCTGTGCCTGTGTGGCAAGACCCCCAAACAAGGCCACAACAGAGTTGCAGCTTCCGAAGCAAAACACACTGGGGTTTACTGAAGCGAGTTTCAACACACCATTGCAGCAGGTGGAGAAAAACAATCCCAAACCTTTAGAGTAAGGGTTTTTTTTTTTAAGGGAAAACCAAGCACGGTGGCACAAGCCTTGGCATTTCAGAATTGGGTGTGGGTATACAATCTTTGAAGTCATTGGTTGGGTATAGTGGAATTTCAAAATAGCAACTGTCAGTAAGCAGGAATTTAAAACAGTTTGATCTGATGCCCACAAGGACATCTGAAACTAGCAAATGTTGTTTGGACACTCTGGTGGGATCACTTTAACCAATACAAACATAGTGGGTGGCTTTTCCCGGAATTGTTTATAACTTTTACTGGGGCTGAGTTCATCTTTTAGTGAAACCTTGTCTAAAATGGAGCTGTTTTTCAAAATGGAGTTTGTCCAGTCTCTTCAATGCCATGATGATAATGGACTGAACCTCTGAATTGTAAGTAAGCCACCACAATTAAATGTTCTCTTTGTAAGAGTTGCCATGACCATGGTGTCTCATCACAGCAGTAGAAACCCTAAGACAACCACCAAGCTAAAGTGGAAGCTCCATGAGAAGCCTCCCCTTCCAGCACACGCATTTTCTTACCCTGAGCACTCTTTCTGGTAACTCCAGTTCTTAAATCTGTGCTTTAAAAAGAATCTCCTAAGCTAGGCGGTTGGTGGTACAGGCCTTTAATCCCAGCACTCTGGAGGCAGAGACAGGCGGATCTCTGTGAGTCAAGGCCAGCCTGGTCTACAAAGTAAGTTCCAGGACAACTAGGGCTGTTATACAGAGAAACCCTGCCTCGAAAAACCAAAAAGAGAGAGAAGAGAGAGGGGGGAGAGAGAAGAAAAAGTAGGGAGGTAGGGAGGGAGACAGGCTCCAAAGCTACACAGAGACCCAGTCTCAAAAAACAAACAAACAAACAAACAAACCCAGTCTTTTAATCGACTACAACTCCTCTTCGTAGTTGCCTTCCCGAAATCCTTCTCTGCGGTGATGGCCAGACTCCGCCTGCCTGGATCTCCGAGAAGACCGTGGGAAGCAGCCTTGGGGAGCTGTGTGTCAGTTCCACGTCCCCGCAGGCACTCCCTGCATTGTTGCTGTGGTTTTAACCTTCCCGACATAGAGGGCAGTGAGAAGTTAATTCCGAAAGAACAGAAGTAAAACCCGCAATGCCAACGGAAAGAAACTAACATGTCTGTAGTTAACGTTTACAGGCTCTGTGTCCCCAGCCATCCGCCAGCAATCCTGATTACAGCACAGCTGAGGGATGCTTTTGCTGCTTTTCTTAGCGATGCAGAGATTTTGAGCCAAGCTTCCTTCAGGCTCCATGGGGCGGAGAATTGTGACATCACAGCCTCCACTGGCCAGTGCTATGAAGACCATTTTCAGGCAGAGAGGCCAATGTCACTGGCCTGGATGAACTGCGAGGCAGCAGACAGTGGCAGGCACCCAGGCACACGCTGGCACACAACCTGCATGCAGTTAGACATAGGCACACAAGCCGCACATGTGTCTACAGACAGATACACAGAGACCGCCAAGGGTGAAAGGCAACCGGTAAAGGCTCTGACTCTAAGGCCAGATTTATACAGAATCTCATAAAAGCAGCATCCTGCCGAAGCCATCAAAGAACAGATTGTATCAGTGTTTATATTGGATTCTCTGACATCCTTAACGAGCTTTGTTTTGGTTTTTGGCTCATGTCCTCCTTCTCACCGTCAAGCCCATCACTAACCATTTTGACTTATGCGGTAGCTGTGTCAGTGCAGTGCCGTGTGAACAGAAACTACAGAAACTGCCCCATTTCCCACAGGGATTCCAGGCCCAGCACTGCAGCTTCTGATCAGTGAGTCCTTGGAAAGGCTATTTAAAGCAAATGTCATACAAATGGAAAAAAACTTTATTAGTTTGTTTTTGAGATATACTCTCTGACACTATAGCCCCGGTGGGCCTAGAACTTGCTAGGTAGACCAGTTGGCCTCACACTCACAGAGATCCTCCTGCCTCTGACTCCTGAATGCTGAGATGAAAGGTATGCACCATCATCGTCAACACAAAGGAATTTTTTCAAGTGATACTTTAAGATACTCAAGAAACAAAATCTCTTACTTTCACAATACACTAAATACTATCTAAAAATGAGAATACCTAACCTCAAGAGACAGGTAGTTCACATAGAATGGATAGTAACATGGGCTTTGTTCATGAGATGACCACTTCAAGACATTAATATCTCTATTTATCAGACCCAGTATTTTCTTACACATCCATTTCACATTTTATTTAATTATTTTACAATCATTCATAAAGATGTATTTCCTAAGAGGCTAACCTGTGCTCCAGTAATAACAAATCATGACAAAATAATCAATGGAGTTGAAATTTTTTTGCTACCAAGTAGCTCCGTCAAATTATTTTTTCTTTTTTTTTTTCAAAGTTTATTAATTTATAAAAGTTTCCATTTCGGTCCCTCCTCCTAACACCCTCCCACTCCCCCCACTCCCTCTCCTCCTCCCTCTCTAGCCCTAAGAGCAGTCAGGGTTTCCTGCTCTGTGGGAAGTTCAAGTTCCTCCCCCCTCCCTCCAGGTCCAGGAAGGTGAGCATCCAAACAGACTGGTTCCCAAAAATTCAGTATATGCAGAGGAAACAAGTCCCAGTGTCATTGTCAATGGCTTTTCAGAAAGACTCCGGGCCAGCCACATTCAGAGAATCCGGCCACATTCAGAGAATCTGGTTGGATCATGTGCTCGTTCAGTCCCAGTCCAACTGGCCTTGGTGAACTCTCGTTAGATCAGTCCCCTTGTATCAGTGGGTGAACGCACCCCTCGCAGTCCTGATTTCCTTTTTCATATTCTTCCTCCTTCTGCTCCTCATTTGGACCTTGGGGGGCTCAGTCCGGTGCTCCAATGTGGGTGGCGATGGATGGAGATAGAGACAGAGACCCACATTGGAACACTGGACTTAACTCCCTAGGTCCAAACAAGAAGCAGAAGGAAAGAGAATGTGAGCAAAGAAGGAAAGACCAGAGGGAACCTTCATCCGACAATGGATGGCGATACAGCCGTCAAATTCTTAATCATTTACACATACTTCTCAAATTGTGATGGCATTAAAATTCTATTTTAGAGATTCCAGACTTTAAAACATTGAGTGATGTCATGGCAGTGATACTGAGAGTCTTTCTCACAAGTCAACCTGGACATTGCTCAGAGTTACCAAGACTGTTCTTTAGGGTAGGGGATACAAACCCACAGTCCTTTGGGGACATTTATAAGTAATCCATCTTGGATGTGGATAAACCCCAGCTTCTAAATTCTTGTCTACAACAAGGGACCAAAGTAAATGACTTCACAGCCAACAAGCTAATAAAGAGATACTAACCTACTGGAATAAAGTGATTATTAGAAGTGCCAAGATAGTAGGTGGAGTGGTCCAGGGTTAGAGGTGACCAAGTGACCTGAGCTGGATTTTTAAAGATCCCCATGGTGGAAGAAGAGAACTGACTCCTACAAGGTGTTCTCTTTTCTTCACGTGGACTGCAGAACTCACTCCCAAACAAATGTCTTTTAAATAAAAAAAAAAAAGAAAGATTTAATTTTCCTCATTGGAAATAGTCTTCATGAAAAATTCTAGAGTTTTGATCCTTAAGGACAGATCAAGCAGTTTTGGTTTTTATAGTAAGTAATCAAGACAGATAGTAGAAAAAGCATTTTATTTATATGGAAAAAGCTACACTAAGATCTGTAAAAGGTGTCAATATAATATTGCCTATACAGAAAAAAATTCAAATGTGAAGAGCAACCAAAAAAAAAGTGACTCACCTTCCTACTTAGCAGTGCAATTAATTCACATTGCAATAAAGTTAAGTCAAGAATAATAAAATCAAAACAAAGGGTCTCTCCATTCTAATCGGTATACTGGGAAATACAGTGTGAAGATCAGTTCCGACTTAAGAAATATGCATTCATCCCATGTGCCATCCTAAGACAAGGGGGCACAGTTAATTCATCATCAGTTGATGGGGGATTCAATACTGTTCACAGGGGAAAAAAGTCATGAGTTGACATAGAATATATTTAGTCTATACAGTAAAAAAATACAAATTATAAAGTGAGCTAACAAAGAATGAAATCTGAATTCAGATTTATAAAAGTGATGACATCTTGGACAATATATACAGTGTTTCTCATGTAAAAACATCTCCTTTCAGCAAAAAAAAAATCATCTGGTTGTTTCTCAGTCATGTTGCAGATCTTGCTTCAAAGATGCAGGTGTCCAAGTGTCTCAGAAACCAAATAAATGTCCTCCTCAACGAGCACAAGATGCCAAACGCTCTCCGCACAGTTTCAAGTGTAGTTTTAAAGGTTTGTTCTGTCTTGCTTCAGAAACACATTTAAAATGAGTAGAAACCAAAGGGTTCGTGGAACAAAGGAACAGCCCACAGCGCTCGATTTACTGCTAGTGTCGAAAAAGACATAGATTTTACAGTACTCTGGTATAAGTGAAAGTGTTTGAAAACATTACAGTTGCGTACTTCTGAGTCCATTCTCTTGCGTGCCTGTAGTGTTTTTCTTTGTCTGATTTATAGATCTGTGCAATATCTGGTACCAAGGGATCATCTGGATTAGGATCGCAGAGCAGCGAGCATATGGACAACAACACTGTAGACACAGTCAAAGCTGGCGACCACTGGGACTGCAGGATGTCAAGACAAATACTTCCATTACTGTTTATATTTGGGTGGTAGATTTTTGTCGTGAAAGCAGTCTTTGGTGGTTTAAAGGGATAGTCTGTCGGGAAGTGGTCAGTGAGGAAGAAGACGCCACCTTGATAGGCACTGCCAGGGGGCCCCATGATGGTTGCTTGCCAGGGAACAGGTCATCTCTCACAGCTCACAGCAGTGAGCAGGTGGGTCGCTGTAGATCACTTCACTCTTTCTGGATCCGCTTCAGCGCCCTGGGGCAGGCGGCTGCTCCCCGTGTCCCGGGCGCCGGGCACTTTTTCGCCATTTACTTTTTTTGAGCCTCGGCTTCTCCACCTGCTTCTAGTGTGGTTCAGAGTGAGCCAAGACAGTAGTCTGGGAGATCTACACAAAAACCGGGAAATTAGCATATGAGGAAAGCAGTTGGCCAAGGCAACCACGCTGGTACAGATAAAGAGACACTCCCGAGAATCAGAAGTCACCCGTGGTTCATTACCATAGTAAAATGCACACTCCTGGGCTCTGTGGTTAAGAGCACTTGTTGTTCTTAAGGAGTACCTAGCCCACTTCAGGTAGCTCAAAATTCTCAATTTCTGCTCCGGGGAATCTCATGCCCTCTTCTGGCCTCTGTTGGCATTTGGAATGAACATGGTACACAGACTAATACACACTACACAATAATTACACTTTTGATGAAGATTTGAAGGTGCTAACGAGCCTCAGAAGGTAGAAACTTGAATCAAGAACTATGTGTAACAGATAGGGCAGTCCCAGAAAAGTCATAACTTGCAAATGAACAAGAAGCCTGCACCATGCATAGCCAAACTGCTGGCATTATATGACATGAAGTCCTCATCATTTTCGTACGGTGGGGCAAATTGAGCTACTAAATTCTTACTTTGCTCTCAACTGCTTCCTCCCCTGAACGAGTACCTTGTCTTAATAAACTGACCCACGTCTGTTGCAGTTTGCTCATGGGCATAAGAACTTAGGACCGTTTTGAAAGTACCACTGGAAACAATCTGGAAGGTTCTGACATCAGAAAGGCCCACACAAAATGCATGCGATCTGTGCAGACATGAGGCTGCTCCCAACGCCGTGCTTCCCTTCCTAGGGAGGGTGAGCATGAAGATGTCAGTGTCTCATTCAAAGGGCAGAGGTGCACGGTTTAGGGAATCATCTTGACTTCTAGGTCCTGGGAGGCATTCTGACCTGAAAAGCAGACTGCGGAGGCAGACAGCGTGGATTTAGCAGAGCCGCTGTGACCTTTCGGATCTCTTAGCTGTTCTATGTGATGTTACACTCTTTGCGAAATGAGAAGCCTCCTTGCAAAACACCTGAGACAGAGTGTGGATACAATGAATAAGTCCATCTCTACAGATGTGCCAGGAGCCAAGGATAAATGGTACCATCACAGGGCTGAAGTTAGTTAATCCTTTTATAATAAGGCCCATATTTGAAGGTCAATTACAAAAAGACCTTAAAATTAAATTCTACATGATGAATTGCATGCGTGCACATGTGTGTGTGTGTGCATGAGCGTGCATGTGCAGGTGCATACATGCTCCTGCTCCTCCTCCTCCAGAGAAGCTAGTGACTCCCAAACGCAGCTCCAGAGCTCTGCAGCCCTTTCCCAGCTCCGAGGGCACCTGAACATACGTGTCATACTTCCACACAAACACACACATTCACAAGAATCAACATGTTGAAACATCAATAAGAATAAGGTGGAGAGTGATGGAGAAAGACACCTGATGCTGACCTCTGGCCTCTGTGTGTGTTCACAGAAAACTATACATACTTACAATTATACTTACAATAGATTATATAGATAGATAGATAGAATAGAGCCTAATAGAATTGTTAGGCTCCTGTTATGCTCCACCCAGGACATGAACTAAACTCTATTATGGATATATATTATAGGAAAGATAATGTATGTGTGGTTTGTCACTACTGGTGGCCTCCAGCGTCCATGTTGGGTTTTGAAATATGCCCCTTTGCACAAGGACCTACTACTACAAGTGCTTGTGCCCACCCAATAGATGTACAAGAGTGTGCGTAAGACGTGAGTTTGTTTTTATTTAAAAGTAACATACGTCCCTGTAGGACTTAAACAATAGATGAAAGCTGAGAGACTCAAGGGAACTAGGAGACCTCCTGATCTGCTGTAAAAAAAAAAAAAACAAAAAAAACTCAAGTCTCAAGGCAGACACAGGGTCAAAGGCTGAACACAGACCTTTCCAGAGCAGAAGGGAAACACGCCTCAGAAGTAGTGGTGAGCAGGCTGGAGGTGGAGCTGCACCAGCAAAGTGCTAGCCCAGCACACCCGAAGCCCTGGGGGAGACCCCAGCGCTGTATAAGTTGGAGGTGGAGGAGAAAGTGCAGAAGCTCAAATGGATAAATTACAGAGGCATACACGATAGAATCCCCCGTGGAAGTAAAAGAACAAACTCCTGAGATATACCAAGTAGTAAAGAAACCAGACACTGGAAATACATAATACATGACTATACAATCTTTAAGAGCAGACAAGCTGGGTATAGCACCATTGATTCTAGCTGGGGTGTATGGGACGAGCCACCTGGGGTGTAGAGACATTCCATACACTCACTCTTAAGGTTCATGTACCTTGTATGCAAGTTATATGCAATTTCTATATTATTACACATATGAATTCATGATGCATAAATATTAATATGAGGGGGCTGGAGAGATGGCTCGGAGGTTAAGAGCACTGGCTGCTCTTCCAGAGGTCCTGAGTTCAGTTCCCAGCAACCACATGGTGGCTCATAACCTTCTATGAGATCTGGTGCCCTCTTCTGGTGGGCAGGCATACATGCAGACAGAACATTGTATACATAATAAATAAATTTTAAGATTAATTAATTAATATTAATATGAGTTACAGAGTAAATATATATATATATATATAACAAAATATAAAAAGCTAACACTGAGAATTCTGTTGCCAAGCAATATAAAACTTAAAATGTAAACATTTATTCTTTTGGTGGGTGGGGGAAGGGGGCTTAAGACAGGGTCTTAGTATATAACCCAAGCTGGCCTCAAACTCTGCACCCTCCTGCTTCTAGCTGCGCTGAGACTACAGGGGTCTGGGGAAATGACTCAGTGGTTAAGGTCTCCGCCACTGCTCAAAACACACAGTGCAGTCCTGCCATTCAGAATGTTGTATCAGAATTCTCATCTGTGAGGCAGTGTGAAGGTTGAAGACTTTGGCATTAACTCTCCAGCGCTGCGTTCATCTCAGCCACCTTCTAGCTGTTATGGCAACTTTATATATCATATTAGTAACCTGTATCATTGCTGTAATGAAATACCTAACAAAAAGTAACCTAAGGACTGGGTTGTTTCTGGTTCACAGTATAAGGGTACAGTGTACCATGGCCAGGTCATCCTGAAGGCAAAAGCTTAAGGAGATGCTCACTTTATGACATCAACAGAGTGGAAAGAGGGAAACAGATGGTTGTTTTCATTTAGTCTAGTGCTCCCGCCCATGGAAGGGTGCACGATACTGACCGCATCCAGGAAGTATGCTCTGTTTAGATTGTTTGTTTGTTTGGTGACTTGACACAAACTAAGATCACAGAGGATGAAAGGACCTCAACCGAAAAAATGTCTCCATAAGACTGGCCTGTGAGCAAGTCTGTGTGAGACTTCCTTGATTAGTGATTCAGGTAATGTGGCAGGGGTGATATAAAAAAAACCGCAAGCGGAGTAAGCCACGGGGAACCAGCCAATCAGCAGAGCTTCTCTGTGGTCTCGGCTTCAGTTCCTGGTTCCAGATTCCTGTCCCCCTCGGTTTCCTGTCTTGCCTTTCCTTAGTGATGGACTGTCATCAGGATGTGTAAGGCAAGCAAACCTTGCCTCCCCAAGTTACTTTTGGTCCTGGCATCTTTATCACAGCAAGAGAAATCAAACTAAGACAGTGGATCTTCCTGGGTCAATTAAGTTACTTCATAAACTCCCTCACAAATACACTCAGAGGTTTCTCCTCTAAATGTTCCGAGAGCCTGGAAAAGTAATAGTCAATATTATCACCCACACTAAGCTGGTTGGGCCATAGTATGCTGTGCTGGTTTGAATAGTAATGCCCCATTAGCTCATAGCTTGAAATGCTTGGTCACCAGAACACTGTATACATAATAATAAATAAATAAATCTTTTTTTTGAAAAGATTTTTTTAAATATTTATTTATTTATTATGTATACAATATTCTGTCTGTGTGTATGCCTGCAGGCCAGAAGAGGGCGCCAGACTTCATTACAGATGGTTGTGAACCACCATGTGGTTGCCGGGAATTGAACTCAGGACCTTTGGAAGAGCAGGCAATGCTCTTAACCACTGAGTCATCTCTCCAGCCCCCAATAAATAAATCTTTAAAAAAGAAAGAAAGAAAGAAAAACAGTCTGTCGCATGCTCTACCGACTGAGCTAGCCGCATAGGCCAAATCGGCTTTATCCATCAACCAATAAAATCAACACATATTGGCAAAGTACAGAAGGACACCCCACATGTGTCCAGATGTAAAACTATTGGATCCCTCTTCAGCACCATATCTGGCTATGTGCAGCCGTGATTCCCACCATGATGATAATAGACTAAACATCTGAACTGTAAGCTGGCCCCAATTTAATGTTTTCCTTCCTAAAAGTTTCCTTTATACACATGCCAGGGTCAAATGTTGTGGATGTGTCTATGAGAAATTTCTGGACAAGATTAACATTTGACTCTGCAGACAGAACAAACCAGGTGTCCTTTCCTCAAAGTGGGAGCCTCATTTCATCTCTTAAAGTCCTGACCAGAACAAAATGCAAAGAGGGAATTCATTCTCTGGTTTAGAGTCTTTGAGCTGTGACCTCGATGTTCTACCGCAGGCTCAGATGCACGAGCCTGTCAGTGCTCCTGGGGCTTTGGCCCATCAATTGCAGGCCTTGGGGCCTCCTAGCATCCATAACAGTATGAGTCAGTTTTTCAGGATATCTTTTTATTAGTCAGGAATAGTGGTAAATACTTGTAAAACTAGAGCATGGAGACAGAGGTGGGAGGATTTCTGCAAGTTTGATGGCAGTCTGGGCCAACTTAAGCTATAATGTGTGAGACTCTGTTTCCCCACACCACATTTTCAGTTCTTCTTATTATATTTTGCTACTTTGTATACTAT